AGGAGGGCCGGGGCTGGCCGCCGCGGACCTGGCCGTAGATGACTGCAGAAGCGCAGCAGGCTCTGTCCTCTCAGCCCCCTCGGGGCGCTGGGAACTGTGTGGCGGCCTCAGTCCCCGCGGGGCAGCGGCGGGAGCTGCCGAGGGGCACTCGGGGCCGACGCCGTTTTGTCTGGCCGGGACCTGTTCCCTCCCCCGGGGCGTCCCGCACCCGGTTGCATCAGCTGCTCGCGGGCGTGGGACGCGCTGGGGGTTGTTTGGGGACTGGACTCGGCTTCCGTTAAATATTAACTGCCCCCGCCGCTCCCCGGGTCACTGTGTGTCCTGCGGGGTGTTGGGGAAGGTGCGCAGCCACCCGGTGTGCGGGTGGCCTGTGCGGGGACATCCCCCTGCGCGGGGGTAGTGGGTGGGCTGAGGCACTTTCTGGGGCTTTGTCGTTGTTATTATTGAAAGCTTTTCCCCCTTCAGCAGCAGCCCGAGCTGTGCATGTCGAGGTAGCTGGGTTTGTAGAGCTGCTTGCTGTGGTGAAAATGCAGAAGTTCGACTTCTCGGTCTCGGGTCTGGTGAGCTGGTGCCGTGGAAGCTCAGCGAGCGTGGCATTGCCCTGCTCTGCCAGCTGCCTTTCAGCAGGAGGATATGCTTTTTTTTTGCCTTGCTTTCCCTAGGAGCGAGGTGGTTGCCCAGAAAGGCGATCAGCATGCTTTCACCCGCTGCCGTGCTGCGCTAGGAAGGCTCTAGGTGAAGAGCTGCTGGGCTGCGTCTGATGGGCTGTAACACATTCACTTGACACCACCTCCAGCGCTGATCAGATTAGCTGGTGCTTCGGATCTCGAAGAAACACAGATGTTTTTGTCGGGACTATAAGAGGCCGCACATAACAAAGTTCTTTGCCGAAGGACTGCTTTATCCTCCTGCTGATTAAGACCTCGGTGTTGGTAGTCTTGAACTTTTGTATTCTATTGTTCCTGTCTCATTAGCTGAATTTAGCTGGGCACAGTTCCCTTAATGTGTGAGGTGCTTCCATCTGCCTGCGAGTTGTCAGCTACTGTTTGCCGGTGCTTGGCAGAGCAAATCATCCCATTCTTTGTTTTCTTTCTTCAAAGGCTGAAGAGGACCAAAAGTTGATTTATTCTGGGAAGCTGCTGCTTGATCATCATTATCTGAGAGAGTTGCTGCCAAAGGTATAAAAAACTTTTATGATGTGCTGAAATATATAAAGAAAACTGATTGCTTTTTTTAATGTGTTTTTCCTTACATTTTAGCACGGGGAGTTGCATGCTCTTCATTTGGTATACAACTTCAAGATGCCTGCAAATGTGCAAAAAACCAATGCAGAGGTACTTAAACTAAGTTAACATACTACTCCAAATCTGAGTTCTGACTAAAACCAGGAAGTGCTGAATGGCTATTTTAAACTTCACTGGAACTGCAGATGTTTCCTACTAGTGCAGTGGTAGTATTATTTTGTAATAATTTGTTTAGGAATGCAAGAATGTATTTGGATTAAGCTACTCTACATTTATTCTGTGAAGATTCCCATTGCATTTAAGAAATATCAAAACTTTAGTTGTAACACGCTGCTCAGGTGAGAAGTGATTTCTAGTAAATTGACTATTACATTGTGTGTCCCAGGCTCTTTTGGACAGTGGTTGTGCTTGTGGTCAGAAGACACAGTAGTTAAAGTGGAAGTGGTTCTGATCTGTGTTGTGGGATGGGGAAGGAAGAATGCTGTTAGCTGAAGACACTTTAACTGCTCTCATTAATGACTCAGCCTGTAGAGAGGAAGCCAAAGATGAGCCTTAATGCTTAAACTGAGTATTCGCTGGTCTGAGTGCAAATGGCCAAAACCAATTTTGACTTCTAAGTAGATGTGCTAATGTGTCTAGGGGTGTGTTTATATTGCCCATTATAGGCAATTTGAGCTATCCTACCCAGAGATGTGAGCTAGCTTTGATCTGGATATTATACAGATCTGTAACCACAGAACAGCTCCTGAATTCTGTGTACAGCAGTTTGTGTATATAAGTACAAACTTACCATAGGTAAAAAGCCAGTGTCCTGAGTGTGGTTTCCTCTGTTCCAATTAAATTTTTATAACCAGCTGGAACCTGACTGCAGGCATTAAAACTAATAGATGTGGGTGTAGATCTGGTGACAGTGAAGAGTAATATCAAGTCAGTCTTACATGCCAGTCATTTTTTAAAGTGCTTTAAAATACTGGCGGAGATGCTTGTGGCACAGTGCTCAAAGCAGTGTTGGTACTGTGGCAGTACCCAGAGGTGGTGCAGGACAAAGTGTGTGAACTGTGTAGCAGTTAAAATATGAGCATATTCAATGTGGTGTAACCTTTTTATGTAAGGTATGCATAGTGCCCCGAATAAACCTTGCTAACTGCATTGCTGTCCCTAGGTTAAAGCTGATCAGCCAAAATTATTGTCAGAAGCCAGTCAAGAACAATCTGTATCTTCCTCAGATGATGAAAGAATGACATGCTCTTCTGGTGGGCAGTCTTCAGCAGAAGTTGGTAACAGGTAGATACAGTTCTTAAGTACATCACTGAAATATTTTCAAACATTGACTTTGTTGGATGCCAGCTCCTTATGCCACATATACAGTCTTAAGTCTATAGAACATGGGTCAAAGATGGTGAGGTTATACATAAAAGCTTCAGTGGATGTGGAAGAAGCTAAAAGAAAATGCACTGCTCTGTTAGTTGAAAATCTTTGCTTTATTCATGTGGGAGGAGATGTCTTTAATACTCTAAAGGAAGGATTAATTTTGCATTTGGATGCACAAAATGTCAAAAGTGATTGATATTGTCTTGTAATAAATGACTCTTGCAGTTTGTCCAATATTTGCTAATGAATGTGTTCAAATTTTGACCAAGGCTGGAAACAACTCGACACCCCTTCCAAACTGTGACTCCTGGCTTCTCTGCTTATACAACCTACAGCATGCTTCAGATGTCCTGGTTTCAGCAGATTTATGCAAGACAGTATTACATGCAATAGTAAGTTTTCTATCCAAAGCTACCAGTAGGAAGTAGAAACTGTAATGCAAGGAAACAGAGCTTCTGGCAGTTTCTCCTCTTTTGATGGTGGCTGGAGGACTCTTTTCTGTTGTAACTTAATGCTGAGTGGTGTGGGAACATACCTGTAACTGTAATGTGGTGCTTGGCTTACTGGTTGGGCCAGTGGTTTTGAATTTGGAAATTGTAGATCTCACACTTTTTCTTGGGAGGGCAGGTGTCTGTAGATTAAATGTAATCCTGCTTGATGGTCCTTAGCTCTTGACCATTTTTTTGACTGTTTAAAGTAGCACACAGCACTGATGGAAAAATCAGTGACAAAGGTAAAGCTGAGACTTGCAGAAGCCTTCTAAACTACCTTTAGATTGCTCTAAAGTATTTTTTTGCAAAGGATTAAAATGACTGTTCATAAGGTGGCAGGTGCCTAGTTTGACTTGCTGAAGTCACTATGCAACTTGTCATGGGTAGAACTAAAATCTGGATGTAACCCATCTGTAGCCTCTAAACTTGATGGTTTCTACTTGCATATGTTCTAACTCTGTACTTAGATGGACCAATTTTCTGTGCCTGTGGAAGGATTTGACTAATCCTTATTCTGTACCTTGTGTTCTCTGGCTTCAGCTTGGCTTCTGCTGCTGCATCTGCTGACCCAGCCCATGCACAACATTCTCAGGAGATACCAGTGGCACCAGTGACGCCTCCAGCACCTGTTCCAGACCCCTTTCCTGTACAAAATCAGGCGGGAAACCAGAATGCCATTGCCCAGGTTAATGCAGCAGCCAACCAGAACTTGCAGATGAATGCCCAAGGAGGTCCTCTCATGGAGGAAGAGGAAGAAGGTGGCAATCGAGATTGGTTGGACTGGCTGTACTCAGCAACACTGTTCTATGTCTTTGCCAACATTATCTATTTCTACTCCAGTCTCAGCAGATTCCTCCTGGTTATGGGTGGCACTGTGCTGATGTATCTGTAAGTATAGTATTAATATTTACTATTGTATCCAGAAATGTTTCCTTGAAGTACTGAGCTCTGTGCTGTGGTCAGTTTTCTGGAGGTTGAGCTTCATGTGACTCTTGTACCTTGCAAGGGTAAATTGCTCCTCTGTACTGGTATAACACAATCACAGAATCATCTGGGCTGGAAAAGCCCTTGAAGCTCCTCCAGTCCAACCATGAACCCCACCCTGACTGTTCCCAACTCCACCAGATCCTTCAGCACTGGGTCAACCTGACTCTTCACCCCCTCTGGGGATGGGGACTCCCCCTCTGCCCTGGGCAGCCCATCCCAATGCCCAACAACCCCTTCTGCACAGAAATCCTTCCTCAGAGCCAGCCTGACCCTGTCCTGGCGCAGCTTGAGGCCATTCCCTCTTGTCCTGGCGCTGGTTCCTTGGCTCAAGAGACTCATCCCCCCTCTCTGCACCCTCCCGTCAGGGAGCTGTAGAGGGCCAGGAGGTCTCCCCTCAGCCTCCTCTTCTCCAGACTAAACCCCCCCAGTTCCCTCAGCAGCTCCCCATCAGACCTGTGCTCCAGACCCTGCCCCAGCTCCGTTGCCCTTTTCTGGATACGCTTGAGTCATTCAATGGCCTTTTTGGGGTGAGGGGCCCAAAACAATATTTAGCAAAAATATAAATATAGCCTATGCCTGGATTAAGTGAAGAATGAGTGGTGGGTGATCATACCTGTTTTTTGTATTAATGCTTCTGATGTGGCTGGGTTTCTCTTTAGAAAACTACTTGAAACCTCATTAACTCTCAGTGTAAAGCCCCAGCAGCTTGGCAGTGCAGAGCAGACAGACCTGTAGGTTCAATGTAGTAAATGACAGTTGCTTGTTGGATAATTAAGTGTTTGAAGTCTGGGAGGAGGGTCTCACACCTGCTGGTTAAGTCATGTGCTCATGCAGGTTTTTCTGCTCTGTGTTGTGCCTCTGGAGAGCAGACCAAGCTAAATCGCATGTGGTGTCCTGAATTGTAGTTGAGCTCTCCTGGGGTGGAAATCAGATAAATTTTAAAAATGTGATAAAGATAGTGACCCCTCAGCTGACATGCTTGGGATGTCCTGAGAAGGATAATCTGTCCTCTTGAATTCTTCGATCAGTGAAAGAAGTTATGTAGGCCTCTGAATTCCTGTTGGTAGGTCTAGGAGTTGAAACTGGAGCAGCTCTAATGGTCAGCTCTACCAAATGCTATGCAGACTTGGAGGGTGGAAGTTAATTGCTTCAGTAAAAGTTTTTAAATTTTGCTATTGGTAACTGGACAGTTTATATTGTGGTTTACAAGGTGCAGGTGCTGTAGAGATACAAGACCTTCTAAGAAGGTCTATGTGGCCTCTTATATTTTCATAAGAAAATGCTGTCTTGCATGTTTTGTTGTGCCCTTCTTTTAGGATGAGTATAGAGAAGTTACCCAGGGGTGTGCATGAGCAGGCTCTCTGTACCTCTAGCAGCATGTTAGACACAAACCTGGATGTAGTGCTGCTTAATTTGAATGTACAAAGATGCTCAACCTTCCCCTCCTACCCCATGGTTTGGTGTCAACAGGAGGCTTTGAAAGTACTTACTGGGTGAGCACAGAAAGAGACCTTAATATGTGGAAGTTGCTGTCTGCAGCTCTGAGCAGTCAGATGTTAACTTGAACTGTGTTGGTGTAACAGGTGGGAGTAAAGTTTAAGCAGTATTAATAAAAATCTCTTGCCTTCCCCAGGCACCATGTTGGATGGCTTCCATTTAGACGAAGACCAGTTCAGCCCTTCCCAGGCAATGCTCCTCTTCAAGCTGCCATAAATCAGGACCAGAACAATAACTTACAGGTATTGTCTTGTTTTTTTTTTAAACTATGAGCATGAAACCCTGTGAAGTTTTACTTTCAGTTTTGTAATTACATGTAGTAGCAAAGTCTTTTCTCTAAACTTGTCAGAAACAGTCTTCCATGGTGGAATAATTGCCAGCCTGAGTTCTCTTTTAGTGTAGCCTATTCCTCTGTTCCACAAAATATTTCAGGCTAAATATTATTTCAGTTGTTTTTCTACTTTAGGGTGTTGTAATAGAGTGGCCTGTCACAGGCTGAACAGGCTCTGTAGCTGGAGATGGGGTTCAGACTCCTCAGTGGTAGGATTTGAGTGTATAAGCAATCTGAGTTGACACTTCTGGTTGATGTCAGTGAAAGTGAATTAGTTGTAAATACATACATAGTTCACCTGATCTGGTGCTTTGTGTCTGTCCTAAACACTGTTCTTGGACACACAGCATGTGTTAACATCTAATACTAGTGTGTAACTTGAGTTTTTTGACTTTGGTTGTCTGGGGATACTTGCAAGCTTTTTATAGTGTTGAGAGTAACATTTGGGTAACATGCTGTTTGACACCTGATTTTTCTAATGCATTCCTGAAACTATTTCATTTACCAAATAGCCTTTATTTTGGCAGGGAGAAAATGCAGGTGGAGCAGATGAATCTGAGGCATCTCCTGATGAGGGACAAGTTTTACAAGAACTGCAGCAGGCTAACCCTTCATTTAGGAGTACAGCATGGGTGTTTTTCAAGACTTTCTTTGCATCCCTCCTGCCAGAAGGGCCTGGAGTGACGCGCAACTGACTTGTCACGTGTCTACTTCTCTGAAACTGCAGTGGGATTTAGTCTACCTGAGTGAATTGGATACCAACTTCAAGCCAGGAGTGAAAGTGGATGACACTTCCTCTGGCTTTTACTGACCAAGCAAACAAAGCTGCAAGAAGCCTTAAGTCATTACAGCCTAGAGACTAAGATGCTTGCCTTCATTCCAAAGAACTTTGTTCCGTAGCATTTATTAGGTACCTATGTAGAGGCTTGGCATTGTAAACTTGTGCACTAATTGCACAGGCTATAAGCAGGTGTGTAAAAATGTTAGAGAAGCAAATTGCTTCTTTGGTGCAATGTGATTCCTTTTGGAATGTTTCTAATGCTATTTAAATTACACTGAGTGTAGGATCTCAAAAAATTGCTAGATATGCATTAGCAGACTTTTAGGAAAGATCTATTGTTAAAATTACTTCAAACAGTAGTTTAAATTTTCTGTAAATATTTTCCTATGAAGGAGGTATGGTGCAATTTCCTTGATGGACAAAGTGGACTGTAATTACAGGGACCTTTTAATAAGTAATTACCTTGGAGTTGCAGGCTAAACTTGATGTTGCCAAATTCAGATAGTTTAAACTCAAGGCTTAATTTCCTCCCTGCCAAATCATGGGAGAAGAATAAGTGTGTTTAGCTCTACCTAGCAAGAATTTCTGCAAGATGCAAACTTTTATGTAAGATGCTTTTGGATGCAAAGTTAAAACAGTCTAATGCCTGTATTCAACTCTGTGTTCTTACTCGAGCAACTATCTTGTATTACTTGTGTTCCCTTTAATTTCTGATATGGTTAAGGGCTTTGATTCCAATAAAATTTGCAGGCATTTATATCCATACTGGCATACACTGTACAGCATTTGGAAGACTACTTGTGCAAAGCAAAGGATGTGCTCTCACTTTGGTTTTGTTGAAAAATTATAAGTGAATTGGAATATGGGAAAAAGATGCTTGCAGACCCTTAAACTTGGCTCCTTGGCTAACTATTTTTCAGCAGCCTTTAGCATTTAAAGTGCCTTGGATAACTTGCAGTTTGTTTGCAGGCTAAAAGCTGCTAGCACAAAGGCCATGGATGTCTTGAAGCAGGTATTTCTGCAGGTACTTGGAAAGCTTGCAGTTTGACCCCTTGAGCCCAGGGTGTGCAATGCATTATGTCAGCTTGGGGATTTAACTTGGCTTGAAGTGTGCTCTAGGAACAACAGTGCAGCTTGTCATGATTTCCTCAGTGCTACCTGCAGTTGGCAAAACTGTTTAGGAGTGTCTTGTCAGGGTTAACATGCATGAGTTGGTACAAGCAGTTGTAACAGCCTAACTGGCAATGCTTGATCTTGCCACTTCAGATCAGACTGATGTTAGGCATAGTTTGCTGATGTTACCTGTGGTAGCAAGTTTAATGTTAGTGACTTTTTTGGGCTTTGAACAATTTCCTTTCCAAGCCTCTTAACAAGTAGGTTTTCTGCCACATCTTCAACTTGCTAGAGACTTAGAGAAGTTGATTAGGATAGTGGTAAAATTTAGCAATAGAGTCTGTAAATACTTGGAATGAAGTAATTTGAGAGGAGGTGAGTTTGTTACTTTGTATATTCTACATAAGCCTTTGAGAATGTTCTTGGATGTAAAGTCTCCTTTCTTGCCTTGGTAGTGGTAAGTCTCTCTGTGCTCAGCAGTGCCTTTTGTGGATGATGGAGGGTTTTTTATTCAGAGTATATCTGATCATCACTTGGGTGTCTCAGCAAGGTGCCTAAATCAACTGAGATACACATGTGCCCAGTCTTGGGAGGAGAGGAGGGTATTTCTTGGCAGCCAGAAAAACTGTTTTGGTATGGTTTAGGCAACAAGCACTGAGTGCTGGATTACTTGTGAAGCTTCTAATCTGAGAAGTTACCAGAGAGAGCAAAGCATCTGTTGTTGTCTTGAGGCTTTTGCTACTCCCACAAGCAGACTGACTGGTTTAAAATTAGCTGGAAAACTAATTAAGCATAGCAAATGTCACCGGAGGAATGTAGTGAGGCTCCTGGGCCTTAGAGAATGTTTCTTTAATGGCTTATTGAAATGTGTACTTCTCTTTGCTATTGTGGTGGAGGGAAGCTGTGGCTACAGCAGAGGACACTGGGCAAATAATGTGAAAGTAAATACTTTAATTCTGCAGAGACAGCTGCCAGCACTGCACCCAGGCAGGAGCACTGGGAAGTGAGAGCAGTGCTTGGCTGAGGGCTCAGAGCACCAGCCTGGTGGTGTGTGGAGAAACCCTAACTCTTACTAATCCTTAATCTGCCTTGCCTTTGCCCAGAACAGCCTGGGAGCAAGTGGGGATGGCTGAGGTGTGGGAGCAGAGGAAGGAACAGAGGCAGCTCGGCCTAGAGGAAGGGCAACATAAACAGATATGTTAAGCAGTGACAGCAAGAAAGGGGATATAGCCTGTATGCCAGCTGTGGGTGAGACAGTGAGCATGGGCCTTACATTAGCTGAGGGAATCAGGTTAGATACTAATTAAAAATGAGCCTTGAAACTTCCAGAGCAAGGCTGCTAAAAGAGCATAGGAATCCCAAATAGGTTTTCTGGGAATAACATGATCCTGTGCTTGTTGCAGAGAACAGAAGGGGCCTCAAGGCTGGGGATTTGGGAAGCTGGGTTTGTCTTGGCTTGCACTTCAAGCTGTGTGATACTGCTGCTAGTTTCAATCCTCTTTGTGCTTGCAAGCACAGCTGCATGCAAATGTTCTAGTGCAGCCCAGCTGTGGCTAATGTACCTGTTGAGCCATGGGTGTGCTGTGCGGGGCCTCCCTCAGAATGGGGGTGGGCAGGTGGTGAGGGTTCACAGCATGGCAAAGTGAGCAGCGGAATGAAACTAGCTTCTCTGCTGTCTCCTCATGTCTCCTTTCAGCTCTGCCCAGTTGAGAGCAGATTTCTGTCCTTGCTGGAAAACAAGTTGAGGGAGAAGTGTAGTCTCTTGCACATTTTTTCTTCTTGCTGCAGAAACTTCCAACAGGCTGCTCACTTCAGAAGTCATTGAAGTCCTGCTTGTCACGAAGAGTATGTTCCTTCAACTTGTGGCACAAAAATCTCGTGAGAATGAGGTTGTGCTGGGCAGATAAGCTGGGGGTGTGTGATGCCCCCTCTTCTCACAAGAGAAATTGTGCACATGCTTGTTGTCCCTGTTCTCATTTTCAGCAGCCAGGGACATCCCAAGGGCTGTGCACTTGTCCAGGAAAGTGTTAGAACCTCCCCCTGCTCTTTGCCCTGTGATCTATTATTTGCAGAGCTGTGCATCCAAAGGCCCTCCCATCAGATATGTCAGGCTGTCCCAGGGCCATTCCCTCCATTGTGTTATCAAACATGCCAACTGCACCTTCGTGACCTCATCTAGCCCCTCTGCTTTGTAAGAACAGCTCTTGAAATGTCTGCTAGTATTTAATGTTGTCTGAATGCCCAGTGGAATGATACCATGAAGCTGGCCTGGTGTACAGCCAGGGTCCTGAGCCTGCAGTGAGGACCTTGAGGTCAGTTCATGCTCAGGGAGGGTTGGGCAGATGCTGGGAGATAACTGCTTCTAGGCCTATGGCTTGTGTCTGCTCAGTGGCCTGTGCTGCAGAAGAACCACCCAGATTTCTTATATTAGCACTGAAAGTTGTATTTGTGGCTTTTTCAGTCTGGATTTGGCAGTGCAGAGTCAGAGCTGCAGAAGCACAGCTGGCTGCTCTTCCAGGCTTCAACCTAGCTGCCCTTGGCAGCCTCAGTGGTGACAAGCCTGGGCTGAATTAGGGCCACCTGTGTGTGCCAGGTTTTTTTGGGTTTTTTTAGATTGTTATGGGTGATACTGGTAGGGAAGAGCAGAAATTGAGTTGGTTTCAGGAGAATTTAATGGAAAACCATGTGGAACTTCATTGTCAAAAAAAATCCCTCATGGGTGGTTTACCCTCCCAAGTAATAGTCTGTTAAAATCTCACAATTCACAAACTGGAGTTTGAATTTATTTGCTGCCTAACACCCAAGCCTGTCATGGTCACAGTTTTTAACTGACAAATAACCTCTCTTCAAAGGTGAATCTTTCTTCAACCCAAGAGTCCTGCTGCTGGGGCTTGACAGCACAACCCAAGGTCTCCAAGGGCTGCTGCTGGATGTGTGGGGCTGACCATGGCCTTGTGCTGTTGTGTGAGGTGGAAGCAGCTGCCTGTGGGCTTGTCCTCCTGCCACCCCGGGGCTGAGCTGCTGCACGAGGCCCAGAGGAGGTGCTGGAGCCCGTCCTGCTGACGGGGCGGTGGGCCGCCAGGCTACCTGGAAGGCTATCTCAGGAAGCAGCTGCAGGGTAACACTGAACCCTTGGGTCAACGCAGCACAGAGATTAATGGCACTGTGATGTACCTCTGCTCTGGAGAGTGTGGGGAAAAACAACCCCAGTCCTAGGACAAACCCCAGCAAGGTGGTGAGCACATGTTCACGGCCTTCAGATAAAGCCTTGCACAGCAAGTATTTATCAAAACATCTTCTACTATCTTCTTTTGTAAGCACTACCCAGCAGCTTGGGCATTTAATCTCTTGTTGGGTTTTAAAGCCTTCTCTGCCCCTTGCTAGCTGAATTTAACCTTTCTTTGGGTTTTTAAATCTGACCTGTCTCCTGCTAGCCTGACCTTGCACTGGGAGGAGGAGGGGGGTGGGCTGCTGTGTCCCTGCTGCCCTGGCCTCTGCCTGGTTACTCCAGGGCAGGGATGCTTGCGGCACCTCCACATTCCATGTGCTTTTGCTATTGTAGGCAGAAAGTCTCCAGTCTTCCTGTTCTTGCTGGAGGTCAATGTCCGACAGTCCCTTGTCCTCCCTTGCTCTCAGCTTGGGTTATCTGCCAGCAGCAGCCTCTGAAGCAGGGGGCTGTAAACACACCACATTTGCCCTGACCAGCACACTGGCTCTGGGTTTTTGGTCTCTGTTATCTTCCCTGGGACACCAGTGACAAAGACCCCTGCATCAAAATGCCCTGCTTTTCCCTTCATGCTGGTATGAATGGCTGCTCTGGGTGAGGGGTACCTGTGGTTCTGCTCTGCTTTCATTTACAGTGACTGACACCAGCCTCAGTGGGGCTGCTTCCCTGCTGCAGTGTCTCCCATGGATCTGTTCCAGTAAGACTTAGACTGCATGCAAAACTCCCAAGTTTGTGTCCTGCAATAAAGGGGAGCATGTCCCTTCCTCTCCTGAAAGCTGTGCTGGGGACACAGGCTTGCATGACACCCAGCAGCACTGTGTTTGGCTGCCAGTTTAAGTGCCTTGCTGCCTCTGATGTATTTGCCCTGCTGTGCCTGGGGCTGCCCCCTCCTGCTCTGGCTGTAGGACTCCCTCACCCCTGGTCTTGGCCACTGCACCAACATCCCTTGAACTGCAAGCTGCTGAGGAGGTCTGGGCATGTGAGAGCCAGATGAAGAACTGAAATCAGAGTGGTTACAAAGTTAAAGCCTTTTGAATTTAAATCCTTTTGTAACACCTGTGCCCTTTTCAGCTTCCCTACAATGACACCTTCTAGCTGGGGCAGCAAGAAACCCACAGCAGCTGAGATGATGATGCTGGGCTGCCATGTAACAGGGCCTATGCTGGTCAGACAGCTGCTGTCTTTATACATGCTTCTAACCTTTAATTCACAGAATCATCTAGGTTGGAAAAGACCTTGAAGCTCCTCCAGTCCAACCATGAACCTCACACTGACCATTCCCAACTCCACCAGATCCCTACTCTTAAACACCTCCAGCGATAGGGACTCCACCACCTCCCTGAGCAGCCCATTCCAACACTAACAACCTATTCAACTGTTCATTTATAATGTACCATCTTGCAGCAGGCAGCCTGTTCTAGGCCACAATGCTGCTCGTCTGGAGGAAGCCTGTGGATGCTTTGGTTTCCCTCGGCAGGTCAGTGACCGCAAGTGCCTCCCATGGGGTACCCAAGGCCATTCACTTTCTCAACTCAGGAAGAAAACAGCACAGTAGGGTGGGAGCTGCTGGACAGCGGGGCTCCCAGGAGGAAATGTGCTCACCCAGTGCAGGGAGGATGAGGCATCTGCCAGGGAGAGGAGGGAGGCTGGCACCTTGTCTTCCTCAGGGGTTTGAGGCTGTTCCTGCAGCATTAACAAAATTTCACCTTTCCTTCTCCATCAAGTTTTGCTGGCAAAATGGTTCACAGGAGCTGCTGCAAGCCTTGTTGGTGAAATAACCTCACTTGTTTTGTCCTGGAGCTCATTTCGGATTGGGCCCCAGCACCACAACAGGGGTGTGGGGAGACAGTGGTGTGCAGGGCAGGTGTGAGTGAGGGATGGATGTGAACCTGGGTTTCTAATGTTTCCCGAATAGCAGCTGAGAGGCTAGGGGCATGAAAAGCTCCAGCTTAGTGGGTTCCTCCCCATCTGGAAGGTGGCAAACCAAAGATGGTCCACAAATCCAGCTAGGAGGCAGAGAGCATCACAGTCTTGTGGTCATGGAGCTCTCCAGGGATGTGGGAGATTTGGGTTCACCCAGTGGTAGCAGGAGGAACCCCTTTCCCAAGAGCATGTCTCAGTTTCTCCACAGTGTGCCTAAAATCAGTGGAAGGAGGAGCAGTTAATGTAGGTATCTTTCAAAGATGGCTTTTCTGGGAAATTACTGTAGTAATGCAAAATATGGAATATTTCTGCATGAAAAGCAAATGATGATCTGGCTGGAGGCTGACTGCAAGGCTGCTCCCTTGACTTTATCCTCTCACAATCTCCATTCCTCTCCAGCTTTCTCCACATGCCTTGATGTCTGCATGTCCTGAGTTAAAGCAGTCTTGGCAGGAGCACCAAGTCCTGTAGCCCAAGTGCCTGCTGTGGGAGGAAGGCAGTGTGTGACTTAAGGAAACTATAGGAAGATTAGGAAATGTGTGATGAGTTTTGATAACCAGAGGAAGCGGGTCATGTCCTGCTTCGAACCAGGTCCTCTTGGAGGTATGAAAGCAGCCTGTGCCACGATCAGGAATCAGTCTCTCTCACCAGCGCTCTCTGCTCTGGCTGAAGATGCTCTGGACTGGCAGGATGAGGCTGGGGACCTTCAGGATCTTGCTAATCCTTGTCCACACAGTAGCAGCCTGTGACTTTGGGCCCTTCCCTTACCGTGTCACGGGGATCGTCTGCAGGATGACCAAACCTGCGGCATTGCTGTGTAAGTGCTTGCTGTATGGGGCTCTTTTTCCCCCCACTCTACCAGGAGAAGTTAGTGAGAGATCAGCCAAGTGAGGGAGTTTCTTGCTTCCTTGGCTCTCATGGAAACTCTTTATCTAATAAGATGTATTAATACCTGCCTGGGACCATGTGTACAAGCATGGCCACTTGAGCTGAATAGGCACAACTTCTCAAAGGAGCTAGAAAGTAGTTCCCAACCCTTCTCCTTAGCCCAGAAATTTAGTATTGTTTCTCACTGGGGGCTGATGTGGTGGAAGAAGTACAGCAAATGCGTGTTTGAGTTCTCATCTCTTGGGGTTGGTGTGCAGAAGGGGAGAAACAGGTTTTCTCTGCTGCTGTGGGTTTATTTGCAGGGATTTGGGGGGCTCTGTGGGTGGGGATGAATAATTAGTGCTTTGTGAAGGGTGGGAACAGTTCTGTCCCATCCCCTTTGACAGTGGTACATACAGAGGAGGTTGCTGGGCCAAATTAAGAGAGGGTATTTCTAGAAAGAAAAAATCCTGTACAAGCGTGTTACTGAGGCTGGAATATGTTAGGAAAACGGGTACAAAAAATTGAGTCTCAGAAGTTTTCCTTTGGAGACCCAACAGATGACTGCAATACAAGTAAGCAGCAACAGAGAAAAGTGCTGGGGTAAGGTCAACAGCTTGTGTGGCATCAGGACAAGCACAGCCTTGACCTTTCCAAAATCTGCCCCTAAAGAGCAGGTGAAGTGTGTGGAAGCTGGGCTTGATTCCCTGGCAACAGCCCTGCTGGTGACTGTCGAGTCACATATGCTGCTGTTCCCAGCTGCCATCAGCTGTTAAAGTCAGGGATATTTATTTAGTTGTTTATTTATTTATTTTATTTACTCTGAAGCTACCTGTAGTGCTTCTTTAATCTAATGAAAATGCCTTGGGTAGAACTCTTCTGTAGTGCTTTACAGAATTCAGAGTGTGAACCTGACTTTGCAGCTAGGAGAGACTGCGGTTGATAGCTTTGCTTTTTTCTTCCACTCACAGTGAACCAGGAAACGGCACAGGTCATTCAAACAGCATTCAGAAATGCCAAATTCCCAAATATCACCGGGGAAAGATCCATGCGGCTCCTTGGCAAGGTGGCTTATGAGCTGACTCAGTGAGTATCTCTGTGTCTCTGTGCTGGTGAGGTGCGGGCAGATGGGGGGAAGAGAAACTGGGCTCAGAGGGAGCTTTGATCCAGCAGTTGCTGGTGAAAACAAAGTTCTAGATGAAGGCAGACACATTTTCAGATTTATGCCTTGCAGACAATTTGCATCTTAAGATTTAGGCTGCTGATGTATTATTTTAAGAGCTTTTCCAACTCGGTGGGCAGAGAGCGAGGCAGGGCATAGAGCACATGTGTGACAAGGGGGATGGGAGCTCTGTCCCTGTGAGGGCTGGAGCTCCTGGGGCTTCTTGCCGACAGATGGTGCCCATGACACACTGTCGCGGCTGCCAGAGCCACCCTTGTCAGCAGGATGTCACTTGGCCAGGCTTTGTGACAAACAAGGCTGGGTTTTGCTGTGTTGTTAACTTTTATTTGGGGACAGCAAATACAATGATGCAAAGGCCACTGAATGACTCGAGCGTGTCCAGAGAAGGGCAACGGAGCTGGGGCAGGGTCTGGAGCACAGGTCTGATGGGGAGCGGCTGAGGGAACTGGGGGGGTTTAGTCTGGAGAAGAGGAGGCTGAGGGGAGACCTCATCGCACTCTACAGCTCTCTGACAGGAGGGTGCAGAGAGGGGGGATGAGTCTCTTGAGCCAAGGAACCAGCGCCAGGACAAGAGGGAATGGCCTCAAGCTGCCCAGGGCAGGGTCAGGCTGGCTCTGAGGAAGGATTTCTGTGCAGAAGGGGCTGTTGGGTGTTGGAATGGGCTGCCCAGGGCAGGGGGGGAGTCCCCATCCCTGGAGGGGTTGAAGAGTCGGGCTGAGCCAGCGCTGAGGGATCTGGTGGAGTTGGGAACAGTCAGGGTGAGGGTCATGGTTGGGCTGGAGGAGCTTCAAGGTCTCTTCCAACTGAGATGATTCTGTAATTTCCTGCTATGACTGTGGCTGACATAGAGCACTGCAATAAAATTGGGTTATTTCTGCAGCACATTGCTCTGTGTTTTGGGTTTAAAGCATTCCCCCCCCATATCCAAACATTGCAGGGGAGGTGCTGTGCACTGAGGCTGAGCCAAAGCCCCATTGCCCTTGTGCATGGCCCCTGTGATTTGCAACAGCTCCTGAGTCTGGAGTTGGTACAGGTCCTTAGAGACCCCATGTCCTCAGAACAAACCTGTCTCACCTGGTTACAGAAAGTAGCCTCAGGGTTGGAGACAAACTAAGTTTCTGTTGTTTCTAGCATCCAGGTGAATGGCTTGTCCATAGAGCAGAGCGAAGTGGATCTCAAGGAGAACGATGCCATTCACATTGCCATCAAAAACGTGACAGCCTTCTTCAAAGGGACTCTGACCTACGGCTACGCTGGGGCCTGGTTGTAAGTACCTGGGGGCTGGCTGCTACCAAGCACCATGGCCCCAGCTCCTGCTGCTGCCTGCAGGCAGGACTGGCCCGTGGCACGAGTAGGGGTGGAGTGGCTGCGCTCCTCTGGATCTCTAGCAGCGGCAGCACTGCTTACTGCTGAAGCGAGACAGGACTTTATATGCTATTACTGCTCTTTTCATCTTGCTTTCTGCCTTTCTATTCTCACTGTCACTCCTTGCATGAGGAGACAAGATAGCGAAAGCATACAAGCTGATTTCTCCACTCTCCTTCACTACTCTATAAACTCAGAGTGGGGAAAAAGGGGCTTTAATGCTCCCATTCCAAGTGCTGCTAAGGTGGTGGCTTGCAATGATTTAAAGCCAGAGTATTTGAGATGGGCTGTTGCATGCTGGGGTTTTGTACACCACAGTGCAAGGACTGATGTGAAAGGTGTTACAAAACCCACCCTGCAGCTGACAGGTGATCAGGGAGAAGCTGCTTCCAGCACGGGTTGCTAAATATCCTCTCTTCTGTCATTACAGTTTGAAGCTTTTTCATTCAGTTGATTTTGAAATCGAGTCTTCCATTGACCTCCAGATAAACATTAAACTGAGTAAGTAATGTCTGAGAATTGCTACCTGTGGGAGCCTTTGTGTGTGTGCTCCCTCCAGAGCAGCAGGACAGACTGGGCAGTGGGCAGCGAGCTCTGGCTGGCTCTGCTCACCTCTGTGGGGATCAGACAGCACCCAGGGGCTGGAAATGGGTCTCTAGCACCCTGTGCACACAGGCTAGGAGACAACATGACCTTCAAAGCCCTCAAAGTTTTAACAGATGAAACAGAGGAAGATGGTATAAATCAGTTCAGCAAAGTGGTGCTGTTTTACACCAGCAGCAAAGGAAGAACGGTTCGGCCTTCTGGACTCTCTTCAGGACTGGCTTTTCATGATGACTCAAAAAAACATGTTTCAAAAGAGTGAGCCAAATGAGGGCTTTGGTTCAGGAGGTTTGAACCTTCTTATAGTCCACTTTTTTAGCTGTCTCCAGGTCAAGGTGTGCTCTGGGAAACAAAGCCTCTTCCTCAGGAAGGTCAACAGACTTAGACTAGAAAGGGACAGAGACAAACTGCACTCCTCCACTTCTCATAAGGGATGAGAGGGATGTGGGTTATTATATGTGCCTCAAAATACATTTTCCTTCTAAGCTCCCAGAGGAAGAGCTGCGTGAAGCTCTCATCAACAGTATATTGCAATTTCCCAACTTTTTGCAATACGACTTCATTCCCTCCCACTCTTGTTTGTGGGTTGCACATACTGCCCAAGTTGTTCTGGGTGATGTTAGGGGGCAACTGAATGCCTGACAACAGGAGCAAGCGAAGCTGGCAGGTATCCAAGTGAAGCATGAAGAAGGCTGTCTGGCAGACTAGTTTGGCTGGAGCTGCAAGCAGAAATCCTCCACCCAGGTGCAAGGTAGCCCCATTTGCCCCACTCTGCAGGGTCTTAAACCATTTGGAAACATCCTCCGGGAGGTGTGGGGAACTCTGCAGACCTGAAGCAGGGCATCACTGCAGAGGGGCAGCCAAAGTGCACTCGTCCTCCTCATCTCAGTAGCGTTAGCTATTTTTTTTTTCTTTTTTCTTTCATACCATGCAGTGTGCCAGAAGGACCAAGTGGCTGCTGATGCCTCAGACTGCTACCTGACTTTCCACAAACTTAAGCTTCACCTCCAAGGAGACAAAGAGTGAGTCCGTCCCCCTTCAAAATCAGGCTTCACTTGCCCCTCTGCTCGTCCCCGAGTGCTTCAGCCCAAGTGTCACTCCCCGAGGGGACCACTGGGCTGTCCCTGACCCTCCTCCCTGTCTTACACAGACCGGGCTGGCTGAAGCAGCTCTTCACAGATTTTATCTCCTTCACTTTGAAGCTTGTTCTCAAGAGTGAGGTAAGATCAGCCATTGCTTGTGGACAGAGGAAAGGTTGGTTTGTATGCTATACATTCCTCTGCTCACATATGCCCACAAGATAATAGCAGTGTAATTTTAGTGCTTGCAAAAAATAAGACAAAGAAATAGAATCCACAAAAAACCCAGCTTGGATGAGGTGAAAGGTTGTGCCTACACTGAGATCTCTTATGGTACTGGACTCTGGCAAACAGCCCACAGATCTCACCGCAAGGCCCAGCTCTGCTCTACAATCCAAAATCCTAATCTCTGCCTTCAGTTTTTCCCTTCTTTTCCTCTTGTAGGTGTGCAATGAAATCAATTTTCTTGCCCAGGTGCTGGCAAATTATGTACATGATTTAGCAGGTAAATATCCTTGTTTTTTCTTTTTTTTTCTTTTATGTGCAACTTTTAACATTTGAGCCCTAGCAGGGCAGTAGCCACATCCATCAAAAAAGTCATTCAAAAATGTGTATGGGATCCCAATCCCTCAGACAACAGCAAAATAAACCTTAGCACTCTTATGTTTTCAATTTTCTCTATCAGTTTGTTTTTTAAGGGTGATTGCACTGGTTGAAATACACATTTCATTTCAAAAGATATTTCTCCTTTATTATGTAATAACCAGAGGTGTAGGATAGCTGCAGAAGGACTGATGTTAGCTAGAACAGGAGCATTTGTCAAGCTCTGGGATCCCCAGCATAAGGAGGACACAGACCTGCTCGAGTGGGTCCAGAGGAGGCCACAAAGATGACTGGGGGGGCTGGAGCACCCCTCTGCAAGGACAGGCTGGGAGAGTTGGGGGTGTTCAGCTGGAGAATAGAAGGCTCCGGGGAGATCTTAGCCTCCCAGGACTGAAAGTAAAGTACAGGAAAGCCAGGGAGGGACTCTTTATCAGGGAGGGCAGTGATAGGATGAGGGGTAACAGTTTTAAACTGAAAGAGGGTAGATTGAGATTAGATATAAGGAAGAAATTCTTTATTGCAAGGGTGGTGAGACACTGAAACAGGTTGCCCAGAGAAGCTGTGGCTGCCCCCTCCCTGGAAGGGTTCAAGGCCAGGTTGGATGGGGCTTTGGGCAACCTGGGCTGGTGGAAGGTGTCTCTGCCTGTGGCAGTGGGGTGGAACTAGATGATGCTTAAAGGTCCTTTCCAACCCAAACCATTCTGTGATATGCACTGGAGTACTGGGACTGAGCTATTACAGCATCTCTATCTGCCTGCTGAAGATTTTCTAATGGTTCCCAGTCCCAAATATCAGGGAAAATGAACAAAATGTAAAACTGAGAGTAATTACCCCTATTACCCAGTGGAGAAACTGAGTCAGTGAGCAGTAGCAGGATCAGCACTAGCACCCAAAGGAGTGGGACCCCTCAGTCCCATCCCTGTGTCCTTTTATAACTCCCAGTCACCTTCTGCAGCAAGTCCTTAAAAACACCTGTCACAAGCTCTGCTTAAGGTCATATTTCTGGTCTGAGGTTTTTATATTTTCTTCCTGCAGCAAATTTTGTCCAGGATAAGGATATCTCTGTTGATATCTCCCTTGCATCAGCTCCTTTAATAAAAGCAAATTACATAGAATCACATCACAAGGTAAAGTGACCCACGCTGCTCAGAGACCAAAGGTTTGCTGGCAATAATGATGTTTGCTGGCGGGCTGGGAGGGGCTGGTCGCTTGCTGTCATGCAGTGCTGCGGGGGTAAGTCTGGAGCAGGGGCTAATGCCAGCCTTTCACCCAGCGGAGGAGCTTGCTCTCTGCTCTGAGGCCAGCCAGGCCTTCGCCTTGCAATGAAAATGCAGGTGTTGACATCTTGTCCTGTCTCCCTGCTGCTTGTTGTGGCCAACATGCTTGCTTTCCTTTAAAGGGCCTTGTCCTGTACAAGAACTACTCCGATGTCTTCAGTGACTCTGTTTTCTCCCCGTCGCTGCTGACTGAGTCTCGAATGCTCTACTTCTGGCTGTCCGAACACAACCTCAACTCTTTGGCTTTGGCAGCGTTCTTAGATAAGCGCCTGGTGTTGACCTTCAGAGGGGAGAAGTTGCAGGTGACTTTCAGGGGAGGTTCTCTCATACATCATATTTTGGGGAGTACAGAATCGTCTAAATACTGTTTCTTGGTGAGAGGTAGTTTCTATAGAAGATAGAAATCTACCGTTAGTCACTACATGTGATACAGGCAGTCACTACAGGTGATCCTGGTCTGAAATTGGTACTTTCTTAGCAAGTGTGTGCTACCAGGTAGTGTAATCCTTTAGAGTGATAGAAAACTTGTCTTCTGAGTTGTAAAGTGATGTGATTTTCTGTGGAAGTACTGAGGTAGAAAGGGGAGGTAGGGTTTCTACTGGACAGAAACTCAGGAGGAACTCAGCCATGCCTCTGAACTAGGCACACACTGCACGTCAGTGCTCTGGCCCATGGACCCCACATCAGGACTAACCATAACCTCATCTTTCATTTTTCTACAATCTGTTTCTTCTTTGTTTCTGAAGGCGCTGTTTGAAATAGAAGACACAGAAGCGCAGCGGAAGATGGTGCAGATGGTAACTTTTGGTTCTATTCAGAGAATTTTATGTCAAATGAGCAGCTTCTCAAATGGATTCTGTTGCATTATAACATCTTGTGTCCTTCCCTCGATAACTTGAGTCTTGGGTGGGCCTGATGGTGAAAACCAGGGACTGGTGGAGCAACTGTTGTGCTTTGCAAGGATTTCTCCACCCTCTATGTTGGCACAGCTTCCCTGAAACCTGACTGAGCTATTGAGTTTGTGTGAACTGGAGGAGGAATTGAGGACTACAGAAGGGATGCAGCTGTGTGGCAAGTTGGCATGGAATTGGGATGTGGTATGGAAACAGCCTGACTCTTCTCTCTGCTCCTTACTTGACCAGATTTTTCAAGGCACCTCCTACAATGACTCTGTGGCCAAGGTGTGGAGTCTCGCCCACCCCCAAATCTCTCTTCAGCCTGAAGGGACAGTTGTGAAGTCCTTGGTAGCAGCGGAGGTCAGCGTCTTTCCTGCAGGAGAAGAGTCTCTGATGGTTCTGTACATGGAGAAGGTCAGTTCTTGCTTCTCCTGAGTATGAAGACCTTGGGACAGCCTCTGTCCTGACTCTGGACCACTCCTGATGCTCAGCAATAGTAATGGCAGGGAGCCCTTTGGGAAGGGTGGGTGGCTAAACCATGGGAGGTGGAGAAGGCATATCAGTTCTTTTCAACATTCCGATCTCTTCCCCTGTCATCTGAGGCTGGGAATGATGACAGTGGCTGTGTTAGCTCAACACCTCCTTTCTTAGTCCAGCCCATTACTGGTATGTGAGGTGGTAAGTGCAGCACTGGAAAGCTCTGATGAGCCCCCATTAACCTGCATCAGACACAGTGAAACTCCTTCAGCTGAGGTATTTTAGGAGAGAATGAACACACCACAGGAATGTATTGATTTTGGAATCTCCTCATTCCCAAGTTTTACGTCTGACCCCCACTTAGAGGATGCTTATCTCTGAAATGAAGAATGTTCTGAAGAATGCAAAGCTCAAAATATCACTTATTCCTCTATGTATGCCTGTATGAAAGTTCTTGCTTACACTGTGTTTTACCCCAGACTGCATTATACTGAATCTAAGGAGGCAGAAAAAATAAATGCCAACAGCCTTTCTGTCATGAGTAACATCAGAACAAAGCAGTATGTTTGTCCAGTCTTGTAGTTACGGGCTGTTACAGACACTAAACACTGCACAAAAGCAAATCCCTGCCTGAAGATAGATCAGAGTCTTTATAATTTAAAGGGTTAAACTATAATTGAGACTAATTCCCTCCTGTCCTTTGCAAGTACTCTATGTTAGCAGGCCATTACAGGGAAATATGCACAGCTGGATTTTGTGTTCCCAGTGATATATTGAAACAAATTTCTGGTAGGACTGCAGAAGCACTAAACCGGAGATGGTCCTCTCAGGAGACCTGAGTGGCTCTCAGGATGTGATCTGCTCCTGGCCTGCCAGACCCCTGGTTGTGTCCTGCAACAGGATCACAAAACGCTCCTTTTAAATGAATGTTTGCATACAGGCAAAATAAGAAAATGAGCCTAAATGGCCAGAATTCCAAGACTGCTTTATTTTTAAATTTGGTTATAAATAAAACCAGTACGGTAAGATTACTTGTGGTAGCCCTGGCTACCCTGGGGCTGACGTCTCCACATCCATTCTGGTGATCTTTCATGTTGAGATAGATGGTCATTGGGAAACAACACCCTATACAACCATTTCCTTCCTTCTGCAGGATTTGGTTCACAAAATGGTGATGAGCCAGTCTACAGCCCCGCAGGCTGAAGCTGTGGACATTGTGGGGGGGGAAAGTTAATTGTGTGCAAATGGAGAAGAAAGATGCCAACTTTCTCTAGTGATGTCTGCAGGCAAAGCCAGAAGGATGTTGAAGTCTGAGTCATAGAAATTAAACCAGAATTTCCAAATGCAACTCCCTGCTGTAAGGCAAGATGAGCTACATCTCAACTCTGCTGTTCTTCTCTGTGCAGGAAATCACAGTCACTATCCAAGCTGCCTATGAGGAAAAGAAGCTCATTTTGCATGCTTCGGATTCCAGGTCAGTATTGTGGTTCTTGTGGGTTTCATTGCCTCTTTCAGCTCATGTCTGAAAGCAGCACAAAAAGATCTCTGCAGTTCTGTCACTTTAGTGACTCTTTTCCCCCCTTTTTCCTTCCCTTCAGCATAGACTTTAAAGTCTTTAAATGCACAGCTGATCCAAGTGGGGTAAGTTCTAAGAAAGTATTCTCTAGGCCATTTGTAGCTAAATGATGTCTTTGAAACCTTTTTGTATTAATTTACTGGCTTTCAGAATGACCCATCCATAAGAAACTTCCTGCAGACAATAATCTCGGTTGCTGGGATCCCAGAAGTGATTTCAAGTGAGTTTTCCCTTTGGGGAAGGGTCAATATACTTCATAAGGTGTCTAACATCAGATCTCCCAAACCTAAGCACTGAGAATACACATCAATAACCCTGACAGCTGGTGAGGGGGAACCACATTACTGATGTGAATTTCTGTGGGATTCACTTGGGGAATGGGGAACCCTTTGTAAATGGCTGGGACAAAGGAAAAGTGAGTTTTCTGTCAGGCCGAAGGTTGTGGGGCATTGGGGCACAATTAGCTTTTGGCAACAGGCAGACAAGGTCATAGTACACGATGAGCAATAAGCCAGGACAGCTGTACTTGTAACTGGATGGGTTTACTGATTCCATAGGGATCCAGCTAGCTTTGACTTCACTGATGAACAGCAAAGGGCTTCATCTGTTTGAGATCAGAAATCCTGAGATCATCACAAGAAAGGTAAGCAGAGTTCAGGCATGCCTGACTCTTAAAGCCCTTCTTGGGAGTGTCGCATAAACTAATATAATACTTTTCTTTTTTCTCCTCCCTTTTTAGGGATATGTAATTGTACAACTTGACTTTAGCTTCCCGAATCATTTGCTGCTTGATTTTCTTGAGAAAAGATTATAGAATTGATCTCTTCATAAAGGAGTATAGGAACTTGTGTACAAACAGAAAGATTGTTTGTGAACCAATTAAAAAAACAGCTGATTTAAATCAACTTCAGTTGAATTTTCTTTCCTTTGCCTGAGAAACACTCCAGTTTCTGTGCAATTGTACTTCCACAGAGCCTCTCATCTGCAAGTCTGCACCTCTACACACACTATTTTTCAAGATCTTTAAAGGACTTGTGTGCTTAGGAGTAAGGGTTGGACCCTTGAGGTGCATGGGCTGTGGGTTAGCATTCATGGGAGGCAGCAGAAATGGGCTTTGCCCACCTTTTGGTGTCTCTCTGTTGTTATGGTTTGGAAATGCAGCACCTTTTGGACAGACCCTGGGTTTTGTTTTTACTATGAGCCAAGAGGCTTCTGATTTTAACAGACTTCAGCAACTCAAATGACATTATCAAACTCCAAGTAAACTCAGGACCACTTATGCTAAAAGACCTGGGTATGGCTGAAAAAAGCATATAGGTGTGATTTTTCAGTGCGGTACTATAACAGAGATCTTGTGCCCTGGGTACTCTCTTTACAGAGCCTGTAGTCTCTGTGTAGAGCTCTAGGGAAATTGTTATGCCCATGTTGTTGCAACAGTGTGAGCAAACTTGAGAAAAGTAATAAAAATGATAAGGAAGTCAAGGAGATTAAAAGAGAAAGTGTCTAGTCAGACAGCAGGCTCCTGTTCCTTCCTACTACAGTACAATAACTTATCTGAAGTGGCTCAGTTATTTTCCTGTACCAATTCATGTTTCCCTTCTTTAATTTGTCTTTTCACTTGGAAGAGATCTCAGGCAACAAATCTAAAACTAACAGTGGTCACATTTAAAAAGGCAGAGGATTACATTCTCCTCCCACACAAAGTGATATTAAAGTTGGGGCTTTCCACGACCAGCCCTGCGAGGCTGGTGGCAGGACAGCCTCAGTTTCTCAAGCCCCCTGGGCATTGCTGGTGGTTCCCTCACTGCCATGGTTGTCCTCCCTGCAGGATGAGCCAGGCCCCTCCAACCTGCTCCTCTCCTATCATCAATGCTGGAGGCCACCGAAGTCCCCCAGTACTTCCTTGCTCTGTGTGACCCCTGGGTTTCGTCAGGGGTCGTGGTGCCAAGGCTGGTGGAGCAGGCGACTGGGGCACTGGACGTGAGCCGAGTTTACAGGTTGCTCCATGGCAGCCAAGGAAAGTTTATCTTACCGGGTCTCAAACAGCCATGTCCGTGACACAGCAGGAGCCAAGTGGTGCAAAAGGTGTGACACCACAGTGTGGCCAATGTGGCCTTGCAGCCCTGGTGTAGTGGCCAACTTTCTACCTCTCTTCCCACCCTGTTCCCAACACCACCTCTGCTGGCTATTTCGGTACCGGCTAAGGGCTTGTCGGGGCTTCCTCCTGCTCTAAAGCCACCAGTGCTGAGGTGACATTTTCCCTCTCCCTCTCTGCATGGCAATGTCTGCTGAAGACAGTGGGAACTGGCTTCTGTCAAGAGGGTCCTCCTGAATGACATCCCACTAGAGTAATGAGCATCAATAAAAAAGAAATAATAATACGGGGGAGAAAAAAAAAGAAATGGCATTTTAAAATGCCCTTTTCCCCGCTTCAGCCGATAAAAGAAGCAGGAAAACGGCCAGTGGACCCCCAAGGGTCCTGAGCTGCTGCCCTGTGGGGCTGCGACCCCTCACCACAACACGGCGGCCAAGCCCTCGCCAGGCGCTGAGGGGCGCCGCGGGGTCCGCGCCTCGCCGAGCCAGGCTCCGATGCCGCACACTCATGTGCTTTCCCGGCAAAGCCGCTTCGCCGTCGGCCGGTTTCGTTTTCAGTTTCGGGAAGGCCGCGGCGGGGCAGCCCTGAGCTGCAGCCGCTCTAAGAGCGCGCCGGGACGGACCGCAGCCCGGTGAGTGCCGCGGGAGGGTCGCCCCGGGCGGGGAGGAGGAGATGGAGGCGGAGGCGTCGTGCTGGGGCACCCCATGAGGGTTTAGATTTGGAGGGGACTCGGGGTCTGGGGGCGCCTTTCCCCATGTTCAAGTCTAAGGTCAGAAGCGTTCCTGGAGGTCACTTTTGTTCCCAGGCACAGGTCCCAAACCAGTATCTCGGCTTTTATAAACCAGAGTTATCTATGGGACGGAGGTCATCAAGGACGACATCGGGGATTTTTAGGCACAGAACTGTTAGATTGGCCATAGAGGTGCCTTGTGGAAAACAGACTCTACAGCTGGTATAGAGTTACACAGCAGGTAAGTTTACTCTGGCCAGGGTGCAAGGGGATTTCTCCACAAAGCTTGCACGCCCATCGCACATTTTACCAAAAATTGACAGAGTGTGGATATCCATATTCCCTGGATTACATAACACACATATCCATATGCGTGAGTGAGGCTGGGCTAGCTCTAGACGCTGGTGTCAGCAGTTGATGTTCTCTTTGCAACCGCCCATTGCCTCCTGGGGGGTGTTCTCCGGGGGTCTGTTGGAGGAAGGCTCACAGTCCTCCTCTCCTTGTACTTTTCCTCAGAGCATGCGCAGATACTCCTAGCTAATTCCTTGAATAACAAGAGTGGTTCCTGCTGATTTACCAGATCTGTCTTTTCTAAAAGTACCAGTCTATTAATTTCTACCACCCATGTACGGCTATCTATCCATAAACTTGCTAGAGCACATCTGCTTTCCAAGGACATGTCTCTTATTTTTGCCGTACATAGTAATTCTTGGAAAATTTCGACAGAAAATTGCTTTGTTTTGATGAACACAGTAGCCCTTGGTAAGCTTCCACAGAACAGTTAGGGCAAGCAAGATTATTAAGCAATATTCAGAAATCATTATAAGTTGCTATAAATAAATAAGTTGCAAAGTAGGTGATCATTTCCTTGTATCAGAGGGGTTATGTTGGTAGTGCTGTGACAGCTTCTGGTCTGGTGGAAACACCAGTGGGGGCAGTGATGGGCCAGATCCAGGCAGGTAAGGCTGCAAAAGGGGGCAGAGCACGGCAGCAGGTGCTGCCCGAAGCCCCCCCAGAAGCCCCTCAGCACCTGCGGACCCCTCCATCCACCCCCAGGTCTCTCAGAGCTCCCCCACATCCCCGGTGCCATGCTTGAGGCATGATAACTAAAGCAAGCATTTCTATCCAGAGGTGGGGGTATTGCTGGACCTGTTTGTGTTTTGTTTTGGGTTTTTTTTGATAAATTTTGAAACAGTGCTGTGTGCCATATTGCCTTGTCTGGAACTTGGCTTGCAGGCTGCATCTGGTTTTCCAATGTAGCTTCTCTGTCATCTAAAAAACTATTAAAAATATTCTGTTGTTGGTGAGATCTCAGGATCTCTGTGCACACAGCTCCATCTAGAAACCTGGGATTTTTCCTCAAGTCATTCACATCTACTATGTTCTCACTTAAACCTTGTCCCCATTCCAAAGGAAAGGCAGGGTGCTTTTTTCTCTTAGATATAATGGAAATGGTAAATAAGTGTTTTCCTGTGTTAGAATAATCAGATGTATGCATATCAATAAAAATTTTCCCACTGTAAGAGCCTTAAACACAACAAAGTCAGAGTTTACTCCACAGAGTGTTTGCCTCCGAGTCCCATTTCTTTGGACCACCCTCTGAAAGCTTTACCTAACTTACCATCTAGCTATATATTTTACAATAGGAATAACACTCGTCCACTGTTCTGATGGGCTATTTTTGCTCATCTCACTGTTGGCACAGAGGAGTTGCAGTTGGGGATTCCCGGCTGGTTTTACTTTCATTTTGCTCTCTTCATCAGGACACAAAAGGCACTGAAGGGCTGTGTGCCTCGGGAGAGTGGTGGGTTAGCAAGTGAAGAGATCAAGGCAGTGGAGATTGTCCCTCAGCTACTTTGTTTTGTGACCCCCACTTTGTTTTCAGTGCCGTTGCTCTGTTACCGGGCTTTTGGTAAGTAGCACGTGCTCCTTGGAGCATGCAAGAGGTTGGTAGATTTGCAACAGGGAGCTTCACATTTCGGTTTTATTTTTCGTGGTTGGGAATGGCGTGAATGCCAAGTTGGGGAGGAGAGGCGAGGCTTACTTTTGCAATGTATTTTAGTGCTGTTTATGCATTTGAAGGATAAGGGCAAGGGTCAAAAACTTTCTGGCTCTTGGGAGGTTTTTGTGTTTCATTTTGAGCTGGGAGGCATTTTACTGTAGGTCACTGCCCATCGTTTCTTAGGGTCTTATTTAGCAGAGCAGGAGTGATGTAGGAGCTGTTCAGTATTGCCTAAGCTTTCATCTAACTTTTCAGTGTTGTTTTGTTCTTGAGTATGAGTCTTTCATTAATTCATGTGAGTCTTGTCTTTGCCTGAATGGCTTTCAGTCTTCATTGGCATTAAGGTCTGACTTTTAATTTTTTCAATACAGTCTTATTAAGGAGGTAGTTCTTGGTCATCCTGGGAATAAAGTCAGGGCATTGCTGTCTATGGATTTCTATTTTTGGGCTGGAAAGATGTAAAGGGAAAGTCCCTAGATGATCCCATGACTGATCAAGGTCTGAAAGCCCCTTGACTTTCCCAGGCTACTGGGAAATGAAGTTTGTTTTGCAGGAAGCCCTGTTATTTTGCAGTTTGCTTAAATTTGAAATATTTAAATGTTTTCTTTTATGCTTTTAAGGTAATTGAAACATTGTTTCCTTTTTAAATGCATATGTTACTATTTACATTCTTTATTTCTATAATATAACACAAATTTCATAATAAAATATTTTGAATGAAGACTTGCAGAGTCCTTTCCAATACGGTTCAGCGTTTCAGTTTTTGGCACCATGGAAATAGCCTGAGGAGAAAACTGATCCTGGTTAAGCCCAATTTTCTTAACATTTCACCAGAAACTTTGTTGTTGTTGTTGTTGTTGTTAGAATAGTGAATGACAGACACTAGAGAATTTCTACAAACTGGGTGTTTTACCCACATTATGATGGATCCCAGAACTGCCTCACTTTTTATGTAATGCATCCTGAAAGCTTGATCTGGAAAGGGAGCCTAGGTAAAGTCTTTCAGTGATACTGTATTATGACAGTATATGGTGATGCTGCATGATAACCAACTTTGACATGGTTTTGACCTAAAGAGTCGGAGATTAGTAAAAGAGTCCTTCCCATCCAGTCCTCTCCTGTAGCACTCAAGT